TGCAGCAATAATAGATGGCAGAATGATATGCATGCATTAAGCGTTGATTCATCCTTTGGTGACTTTGATGTTCCGCATTCAGTTCAAATTATCTCATAGGGAATCAATCAATGATATTCAGATAAGAAAACGGCCATTTGAAAAAAAAAAAACAAGTAAAAAAATAAAGGGGAGTATGCCTTACTATACGTCGGAAATATTATGAAAGCAAGTGGGAGTTGGTTGCATTTTGGTTTTGATGGAATAAGTTCAAAGACGGGAGCGGACGTTAATGATAACAGGTGACAAACCATGGTAGTGCATATGGCTGAGGAGATCTCCCAGTTTTATTCTGTTATTTGCGATTATTTGAAGTATAGACGAAAACTTCAACAGTATACATTATTGTTCGATGTTAGTTATTTGAGCACTTCTAACATTCTCATTTTCTTCTGGTGTTTCATTACAGTTCCGGCTACAAAATGAACATTCCTGTATATATGGTATGGAACTATATATTTCCTATTTCATTGTTTTCATCCTGCATCGAAATCGTATTCCATTAGTTGCTTCATATCCTTCGTGACAGTGTTTTCCAGTGACGGAAGCTTGTCTTACAAAATTTCTGATATATGCAAATGTGCTTTCTTTTCTATAAATCACATTATGGCAATAACGTCTTCGATGATCCCTCAGAATACCTTCACTCCCTTCATTTTATGGGTTTCTTTATATCCGGTTTGTCTTTTTTCTAATAGCAAAAAGAAAGGCAAAACGATTCAGTGCACGGTTGCCAGCAGTGGCACAACGGTTCTCACTGAATCCCTCTTTCTATACACTCGTTGGAAATATCTCAAGCAACTGAAGTCTCCTGCAATTCGTCTACATAGTTCATATTTCTATAATGCATTTTTCCAACAGTTCATCTTATTTCTTACATGGATTTTGCTTTCCTACACTCCACAGCGTCTTCATTGTCACAGAACGACGAGTAAATGTTGGGATTGAGATACCACATGATTTTAGAGCGAGTGAAGGACATCAAAGAATGAACAACTATTATAATCGTACATGGGATGAATGATAATCTGCCAGTAGGGAAGTAAAAGAACATTCTCTCTTTCAAATGCTGCAAAAAAGACATCCGTTGCGAAAGAGTGACGGGAGAAATTCAGCTATTTATAGGGGAAAAAAATATCCCATTCAGAGAACTGAGAGAGATGTAATTAACGACAGCGAATGCACACAAGGATGAGTAGCTGACAGCCAACATATGTTGTTTATCACTTAACACTGGCCACAACGTACAGTTTCAATTGACATCGATATAACTCATCGCACGGATAGACAATCACAATTTGCGACACTGCTCTTCAGATCATCTCTCTTGGATGGAAAATGAGGCAAAGGATGATGAGTCACTCTTGGACACTCACTTTTGTCCATCAAAGTGATTATATTAAATTGCCCGAGGGACGCATTTTTCTCTCCTGACCAAACATCGACATAAAAGCGGTACAGCACTATCACGTTTCTTCTCGTTTTTCATATCTTCACATCCCTCTCTCCCTCTCTCTCTCTCTCTTTCCTTTTTCACTAAAATTCCAAGAAATAAAGCACCAGCCTTAAAACGAACCAGAAAATAGTGCAGTACAGAATGCAGTATGTTGCGGGATGTTCTAGCACCGCCGACCTCTCGCAATTCGGCTACTAACCGCCATGCAACGTCACACAGTGCATCAGAAGAGATGGGTAGTGCGGTGGTGGGTTGTGGTTGTTGGACAGTGAGTCGGTTCATTTAGTTCTCCTGGTGGTGAGTGTTAGCAGGATCGGGAAGTCTTAGAGAGTTCGCGGGCAGTGTAAACCGTCTTATCAATTTGTTTCGTTAGACAATACTGAAGTTGGTTGCTTGACTTGAGAACAGTGCACTTCTGGAATATTTAAAAGATGAGGTTGAATTTTTTAACCCTGGCCCTGGTACTGTGTCAGAATGCTTGATTTGTCAACAAACACATAAAAGAGGGAACTAGGCGAGCTGAAATTTTGGCTTCGTTGTATTGTGCAAGAGCAAGCAGGTACATTGTATTAATTAGATGATTCGATGATTCCATGCGCGCATTGTGGTGCGTGGTCAAGGAGTTGTCGATAAATATTTATTTTCCGGAAGAAGGAAACAGAACATAAAGTGCATATGGCTGCTGGTAAGCATTCAATTCATAACTCCTTATGACTACGAGAGTTTACTCCAAATTTATAGGTTATTCCAACTTCAATGTTAGCTATGTTATTTGTACGGAATTTAGATTTCGAGAAGGACAATGACTATAGTAGTTTGTTATTAATTATCACTATTAATTTTACATGAACTGAACGTATCGTCTGAACTGCGCACTAGGTATTCAAATAGAGTTTTAAAACGTAACCGTCTTTGTTTTTATTCAGATCACACGAGTTAGTGAGTTATTTTCTTACTGAATTTCACAAAAAAGGAAAAAGTGTATTTTTTATTTTAGCATCAACAACTGTAACGAGTAAAATTTTGTGTCGATATTTTGCAAATAATATCTGTCGTGAAGGTTCTTCATGTCCATTTTCCCACGATCGTAACACTAAACCGGATCGGACATGCCGCTACTATCTTATTGGAAAATGTGCTTTTGGTACTTCTTGCAGGTATAATTTTTCGTTTGTTTCTTGATTCAACTAGTATATTTATAGCTCTTATAGCTGAATCAGATTAAAAGTAGAATGTTTTCATCAAGCTGCCGAACATGCTAGAGCTATAAAAATGTTTGAAGCGCGAATATTCGCTTGATATTGGCAGTTATATTTTTCCTAAGACAATGCCTTTTATAAAAGTCCATGATCAAAAATGTTACTCATTAGCATAACTATCACAATTAATAGTGTCAAATGTTTCTCAGATATGACCATAAACGACCGCCGTTAGATGGGATTAAGACAGTGAAAAGCTCTCCTCGTGTAACAGAAAATTCTAACTCAACCAAAGGTAATTTTTATTTCAACGGTGTTTCAAAAAACAGAAGTTGTCATGCACATTATTAAGATCTTCATAGAGTCACTAGCAAGTGTAATATGATAGAAGAAAAATAGTTATGTTTAGTGTGTAATCAGAACAGGTAAACAGCTTGGTGCAAGAGCACTTGATAAGAGAGCAGTTAATGAGGTGATTAGTAAATGATAACATAATGAACAGTATTCCTATTTCAGTGGTAGAAAATGATTGCGGCAGTGATAAGATAGCAGCAACAACAGCAGCAACAACAGCAACAGCAGCAACAACAACAACAACAGCAGCAGTAAATCAAAGCAATCACGTGTTTTCCGTGGACGCGGCAGAATTTGTTCCTTCTTGGAAAATTTTGCCATTAAACGAAGTTAATGCTGTTGCTTCGAGGTAAGTGAACTACAGGTCTTTTGCAAAGAATGAATTATTCCTGAATATAAGGCAAGATAAAAAATGTGAAGTTTTGCAGGTCGTTTGGTTCGCTACCATTATGTCCTTATTTCGAAACGGGAGACTGTGACAAAGGTGATAAGTGCCAGTTCGTGCATGGTGATGTATGCGATCTTTGTAATGTTCCATGCTTACATCCAGTGGATACAGAACAGCGCGCACAGCATCGACGGGAATGCATGGACGCTCATGAAGCTGCCATGGAAGAGGCGTTTGCTGAAGCACGTTCAGCTGGTAAAGTATGTGGTATATGTATGGAAAACATTAGGCAAGTTAATATCTCTCATCGTTTGCTAAAGAGTTCTTTAACTGAAAGTAAAGGGGGAGGGACTTCTTCATTTTTTAAAGAAAGTTAGAGTCAGTTTTGATTATCATATGTAAGCTTGAGAATATGTTCACTTTCAGGGAGGTAAAGAGCCGTTTTGGAATCCTGGAAGGTTGCAGACACTGTTTTTGTTTAGACTGTATCCGACAGTGGCGCCGAAATCAGAATGATCATTTCGAGAAGAAAACGGTTCGCAGTTGTCCTGAATGTCGCACTCATTCAGATTTCGTCATTCCCGGTTTGTGAGCCGCACTCTATTTTTATCATGGCAATCTGTTGAGAAAGCTTTTTCATATATTTGGTAACATAAAAAATCGTTTTTTTTTTGGAAAGATATTATAGACCAAGGTTCAATATTTTGCATTTTTTGAAAAAGAAAGTCTTAACATGTATGTTTTAGCCACTTACTGGGTCGAGGATCAAGCAGATAAGGATGATTTGATTGCTAGATTTCGTGAAAATGCAAAACAGAAGCAATGCAAATATGTGAAAGAAGGATATATCGATGACTGTCCATTTGGTAATAAGTGTTTCTACAAACATGAACTGCCAGATGGCACCATCGTGGAAGGCGATAGCCCACGAACTCTTCAAAGGTTTCCTTATATGAAGCTATTTCCAATTCATTGTTTCGATTTATGTTCACGAATAGATAGTGATTTATGATGTTTTGCAGACGAAGACGTCCGTTATATTCCGAAATATGGTCATTTTCTGATTCAGACTCGGAAGATGATTTTTCGAGAATTGCGCAGGGCATTATCAGCCGAGCATTCAGTCTCGTTTAGAATCTTTCTGGAATGTTTCCGTTACTCATGCATTGTATTTTGTTAGTACTGGAATTGGACATTATTATTTTTCAGCACTTATAAAGTAGGAAAAACTGCACAGAAGCTTGTTAGGTTCAAGAAACTATTGTTTGTTGTCATGAAGTTTCTGTTTGCTTCTTTCCGTTCCTACTCTATGGCAAACGGACACCGTTCTCTTTCTTCGTACCAATTATGTACTTGAGTTCTGTTTTCTGTTTCGTATCGTAACTACTAGTGTGCTTATTTTTCATTGGGTTATGTATGGTATTTTCGATTGCTAATTTTTCATCAGGAATGACTTAAACATAACTATAATATCATGGTGTAATGTTTGTAGGAGCTTTAAACTGACTCTATACTGTGCTTACATTGTTAGGATATCTTTAAGTACCGGTGATCTATCTACCGGCTCATTAAGCTATTCTTTTGATTATTTGTGTCAAACTAATGCCCTAGTGTTTGTTATTGGTTTCTAATGAAGTACTGTAAGGTCGGAATAATGTTTTTTCATTCGTTTATAAATAATGTTTGGCAGGATCTCCACCAATGGTTTCCCTGAAAGTAGTATTGAAAAGGTTTAAGCAAATTTAGATTTTCTACCTCATTTAAACAAATTGCTGGTAACGGATGTTTCGGATCATGGAATGGTTAACCATATAAGTGAATTGAGCGAACTGAGAGACGTGTGGGAGTTTGAGCTTCTGGGGGGGATTAATGCACGCCTATTCATAACATGCAGTCTCACACGCTGGTTTGAATGGATAGGTACTGGCAGTATGGGAAAGAAGAGAAAGGGTTAACCTTATAGATTGGTATAATTCAACTGAAGTAGTCGTGATTCTATATTTTTTCAAGTACAACTGCATTGATTGAAAGAAATGCTTGAATTGACATAAGCAGAAATGCTCACTGCTTCTGTTTAATAGAGTCCAACATATGAAACTCAACGAATTTTAGCCAGGAAGTTCTGCGTCTCCCCGTTTCTACAGTTGGGATCATCATGTTTGGCATGAGTTCGGTTGGAAGCATCCGAACAATTTTCTGTTCCAAGTTATAGTATTTTTTTTCGATCACCCAATGTAATAAATGAGTAAAGAAGTAATTCAAGAATTGGATTTGACCTGCACTAAACTGGAATGAATGTCAATTAATTGGTCATAGTAAATATCTCTTTCCGTTATCGATTTTTGAGGTCATACCTTGTCTTAAAGAGTATTTTTGGCAATTGTATTTTGACAGAAATTTCGACTGCCAATAGATGATATAATTAGAGAGATAGTAAAGGCCAATTGAGCGTCTTCAAAGTGCGTGGTATGTTAATATTTGTTTCTGAAAATGAGTGGTAGGAGAGATTACTGAAAATGAACTCAGTAATGATAAAAATGTACGGGAAAAAGTGAGATGTGATCCGGAATTTCTTTTGAGATTATTTCAGTTTATATATATAGAAGAACTGGAGTGGTTCATGTATGTTCCGTTATTGAACAGCAAGGAAAAGGCTCGAGAATTGATTGATGTCGTTCGAGAACAAACTGATGCCCCTATAGGAACATGTATAAATACTGTATCGATTATCTTGAGTAGTTTACTGCGAGATTTGCCAGACTTATACAGTCTTCATGTTATAAAAAATGATTTGGAAAAAGACGATATAATCGATGTGGATAATTGCTATGATGCGAAAGTATTGAAGCAGCTCATCGCCAGCATAACAAATTATATTGAAAATAAATGTCAGGTATGGATAGCGTAGATTTATTATTATTGTAGTTACCAATGGTCACAAAGCTACATCGCTTCAAACAAAATCTGAATTAGAACCTAAAATGGAGAAGAATATCATATATTGATTTGGACAATGTTTTGCAGTTAGATTGGTCTATTCGGGATGATGAAACTCTGATGGTTAAGTCTCTGCAGCAGTTTTCAGGATTTCTGGTAACTTAATAATACAACACTGGTCTGTGACCTTATAGTTATGCATTGAGATTTTAATGCATTCTAAGTGTTTAAATAAAAAAATTTACTCGTTCATTTCTATTTCTTCTAAAGAAAGAATTTGACATAGCATTGGTGAAGAATTGTTTTGTGAAGTTAAATTATAGAAGAAAGCTGACATCCGAGTACCCATGAAATGTTTTCATCAGAACGATTATAACTTCATTGAGCAGCTCGTTTCACTTTACCAGATGATAAGTTTTCATTCTCAATCAGTTCAACGTTTCTGCAAGTTAAGAAAAAATCTTCAAAACTCTGCATTTATGCAATTTTGCACTATTGCTGTTCTTTAGGAACTGAAAAACTCAATACGCATTGAATTGCTTTCGACATTTCACTCACTTTGTTTGTTAGACCGGTCAGTCATAATAATACTGCTTTGTGGACAATTGCCAGTACTGCTGGTGTTACAAAATAATTTCTGCTTGCCACTTACCGAACTTGATATATCAACTTTGCAGTTGCTTTCTGTATTGTTTTCAACTGGCGAAAAATTCCCGACTTCACATTATGGTGAGTTTTCTTTGTTTTCATATTCACACTTTTTTTCATCATATTT